TAAATATATACAAAAACCAAATTCAAGAAAAACCCGATTTGGTCGTGGACGAAGTTGTATTTAAGGTAGCACATATTTCTGGAGTATGTCGGTCCAGTGTTTATAGGATCATTAAGGAATATAGGAGCACTCACTCACTTTCTGTGCCAAAATCGTATCCTGCAAGAAAAAGGATAACGGACGGAGTAGATGACTTTGACAGGAGGAAAGTGCATAATTTTTTCTTCCGAAATGAGATACCTACAGTAGATAAGATATTAAGATTAGTTAATGCTGATGAGGATCTTCCATCATTTAAAAGAACCACATTCCGAAAACTTTTGAAGGAACTTAATTTTCGATTCTTGAAACGGGGAAGAAACAGTATGTTAATAGAGAAAGAAGAAATTGTTGTGTGGAGAAGGGAATACCTTAGGAAGATTCGGAAGTTTCGCGATGAAAAAAGAAAAATTTACTATTTGGACGAAACGTGGGTGAATGCTGGACATACTCAAGCGAAAGTTTGGGTCGACAAATCAGTAACATCATCAAGGCAGGCTTTTCTAGACGGTCTTTCGGCTGGATTGAAAAATCCTGCAGGTAAGCTCCTTCATCTATCCGGCAATTTAATTTTGATAAATTCGGGCAAATAATATGCTGTGATAGCAGATAATGTGTGATATTCTCCAAAAATGGTGCATTCGCAGTGTAGTCATTAGGAAAAAAACTTCGACCCTCTTTTAAGCGTTATTTTGAAATTTATTATCATTTTTGGGTGCAGTCAATTTGCTTTGAATGGGTTTTGAGAAGTTGCAAACTTCAATTTTCTACGTTTTTCAGTTTTGATCAGCATTCCGTGACTCTTAAATTCAGCTAAATGAACTCAATTGCCTCATTCCTTCAAATTTAATCAATCCATAGTGTAAGGAATAATTTATTTCCAGGAAAAGGCAAACGGCTGATCATTTGTCACGTAGGTAGTGAAGACGGCTTTGTTCCCGAAGCACTGTGGGCCTTTGAATCAAAAAAGACAGGGGACTATCATGCGGAGATGGACGGCAATTCCTTTGAAAATTGGTTCTCCAAAATGTTACTAAAGCTGGAGAATAACGCTGTTATTGTACTGGATAATGCCCCGTACCATTCTAGAAAAATAGAAAAAATTCCCACAATGGCAACTAAAAAAGCAAACATACAACAATGGCTGGCCTCTAAACAGATCGATTTTGATGAAACAATGGTCAAGGGTGAATTGATAAGTATAGTCAATAGACATAAATACAAATACGATTTTAAAATGATCGACGAAATGGCCAAAAAACAAAATAAAACTGTCTTGAGACTGCCACCCTACCATTGTGAGCTGAACCCTATTGAGCTGATTTGGGCCAACATAAAGCAATAGGGTAGACTGGGTACGGTTGAAACGGTGGACGGTTGAAACAAAGCGAATATCTCGCGAGCCTTTCATGGTGGGGGACGAAAACAGAAGAAGATCGGAGCAGACGACAAGTCGAAACACGAATTTCAGTATTATTTTGCTCTTCGCGCGCTGTGCTTGTGTGTAGGGGACACCATTGTGTTTTTTGGCGGTAAAGTAAGTATTTTTGTTCGTACATTTTTGCAATTATTATCGTTTTGATTAAAGCTAAAGTATTGAGCATTTTGTATCGTTGCAATTGAAGTTTGTAGAATATGGTAGTATGATGAGTTTTTATTCAAATTTATTATCATTCCTATTGTGAGCCGTTTTATACCTAGAAGGGGGGATGGGGACAGTTGAAACATTTTTTGTGGGTACGGTTGAAACAGCTTATTTATTTGATTGTCTTGTTTTTTAGATGCCAAGGGTACGCCAAAGGAAGACTACGAGAGGCCAGGCTGACTTATCGACTTATAAACAAGCTTATGAAGATGTGAAAGCGGGATCTTCTTTAAGAACAGCGGCAGAAAAGAATGGGCTGAACCACTGTTCCCTGTTTAGATACGTACGTAAACGAGATGCGGCTGGTGGTGATGAAAATCAAGAAGTGGGATATAAGGCTCACAATCGAGTGTTTAACCAAGAACAAGAACGTGAGCTTTCTAATTATTTAACTAGATGTGCAGATATCTATTTTGGCCTAACTAAAAAGGATGTCAGGAAATTGGCATACGAACTAACAATCAAGTACGACTTATCACGACCTCGGACATGGGATGACAACGAAATGGCTGGCGACGAATGGTTTCGAATGTTTATGAGAAGAAATTCCGGACTTTCAGTACGTGTAGCACAGGCTACAAGTCTTTCTAGGGCGACTAGCTTTAATAGAAATAATGTAGATGCTTTTTACGACAATTTGAGTACTGTTATGGACCGTTATAAGTTTGAGCCACAAAATATATATAATGTTGATGAGACTGGCATCACTACTGTGCAAAAACCCGACAGAGTAATAGCTAGACGTGGTGCTCGCCAAGTAGGTTCAGTGACTTCAGGTGAGAGGGGTACTTTAGTCACAGTTGCCTTTGCAGTTAATGCCATCGGAAATGCTATTCCTCCATTCTTCGTCTTTCCGCGAGTGCGATATCAAGACCACTTTATCAGGGATGGACCAATAGGATCTGCTGGCAGTGCAAATCCTTCTGGCTGGATGCAGGATGAAACATTTATTCATTTCCTGGAACACTTCAAGAAACATACAAATGCTTCTTCTTCACATAAAGTCTTACTTGTACTTGATAACCACTCTTCACATATTCATATTAATGCTCTAGACTTTTGCAAGACGAATGGCATTGTGGTGCTATCGTTCCCTCCCCACTGCTCACATAAACTCCAACCGCTTGATAGATCTGTATTCGGTCCGCTGAAAAAAGCTATAAATTCGACCTGTGATGGATGGATGCGAAGTCATCCCGGCAAGACAATGTCAATATACGACATCCCAGGGATTTTAGGTATTGCTATGCCGCTTGCTCTTACACAATCCAACATTCAAGCTGGTTTTCGCACAACTGGGATTGTTCCATTTAATCGGCATTTGTTTAGTGAACTCGATTTTGCACCTGCATTTGTGACAGACAGACCAAATCCTCTAAATACGAATACAAATGAGGCAGCTGATGGCCATATTCAGAATACTTACACACCTGAGGATAAAACACCAACACCATCACCTTCTGAACTACCAGAAATGTCGGAGGAGCTTTCTAATACAGCTCTTTCTGTACAACAACTGACTGCAAATATGTCACAGTGTTCACAAGTCCCAGACAGACAACAGGAAAATATTACTGCAGATCCAGAACCTTTGATTACATTACCCGGACATCAAAGTACTGATATTGTTCAGCAAATTTCACCAAAACCCTCTACAAGTTCTCAATCCATTCCTGTCTTGTCAAATCAAACGAAAAATATCCCGTCTCCGAGTACAACACTTTTGTTTTCACCGGAAGCAGTACGACCACTACCAAAAGCTCCTCCAAGGAAATCAACAAACAGGGGGCGAAAAACCAGAAAATCCACAATATACACCGATACACCTGAGAAAGAAGAGATAAGAAGAGAACATGAAAACAGATTGAAACGAACCAAAGCTAAGCAAGTTAAGAAAAGATTAGATGGAGAGGAAAAGACGAAAAGAAATGTTAGAAACAGAAAAAAAAATATCACGCAAGATGAATCATCAGAAGAAGAGGAATACTACTGTCTTGTTTGTGTGTCAGCATATTCAGAAAGCAGACCGAGGGAAAAGTGGATACAATGCACAGAATGTAAAATGTGGGCGCATGAAGAGTGCACAAAAGGTAGTCTTATTTATATTTGCCATAATTGTGATTCTGAATGATCTCATAACCACTTTAATATTTTTGTTTAAAATATGGATTTTTATAGAAATAATAAGTCTTTATTTTTTTCTTAAATAGGATTTTTCTTAAATAAGGATAAGTTTTTGTTTTAAACTGTTTATTTTTATTCTCTAACAAAAAGTATTGTTGTTTTGTCATTTGTTAATCTATTCATCGAAAAGTATATCTTTTGAAGTTTTACTGTTAGTCTGTAAGTATCGTCAAAGACTTGAATATTATTGAAAATATATTTTTGATGTTTAACTGTGCCATTACGAGTCGTAAAATATTATTAGATGATTAATAAAACATCCTTATTTACTATACTTCGTATTATTTGTATGTGTTTCAATTGACCCCAGGCACTGTTTCAACCGACCCTGGCATGGGGACGGTTGAAACAAATTACATTTGTTTTTTAATTTAATGTTACAGATAAAATACAAAACAGTGATCTCAAATATCATTGCCTATTAGTAAACAAATATATGGTCTTTTATTTATCATATTTCCGATATCGCTCGCTCAGCTAATCCCGATGCTATGGACAATAAACGCTAAAATGTTTCAACCGTACCCAGTCTACCCTACGTGGCGTCGAATAATAATACTTATAAATTTTCTGATGTTAAAAATCTCTTTCACATCGCAGTCAATAGTTACGGCAGAGGAATGGAAAAACTGTATCCGCCACGTTCGGGAGAAGGTTGAGGTCAAAATGTGGGATTTGGACAATGTCATCGATACCCAAATTGAACCTCTAATAATTCATTTAAACGATTCAGAAGATTCAAGTTCCTCTTCTGAATGAGTGCGCGCAGCTTACTTACTAATAACTAAAAAGTGTAGTTAACTCATTTGTGAATCTCTAACTGAAATTTACTGTAAAAGATAATAATTATCTTGTATGAAATTTTTGATGACTACCCATAATATCTTGATGCGGTCCTGTAATGTCTCCTGCGCCTAAACACTCACTCACGAGCAATATGCGTGTATTTGTTTGGGTTTAGTTTCTTTCTTCAGCGCCTAGAGTATAGGTTTTATTGACGTTTTATGGTTTTTTTACATAATTCCCGTGCCGACGTCATTAAGACGTCGTAACGCTCTTTATGGTGTTTGACCCAGACATAACTTTTTTCAGGTATCAAAGGTATTGACATCGTTCTTTATTTTGATTGCAGATCATTGGTCTGATAGATCAGGCGAGGGATGGTGCGGGCACCAATCCTCAAGTGATCCAGTTGTTAGATAAAGTTGAAGATATGCTAAGGTGCACTGAGCTATATTCTCCGCATGTAAAAGAAGACAATAGGATGAAAGCCGACGAGCCTGTGGTTTCTGATTTGATAACGGCACTACTCTCGGTAAGTACTTGATTTTCAAACTTACAGGAACTACCGGCACCTAGATTACGTAACAAGTCATTTTAAAGAAATTATTGGTTTTTCCGAAACAAATTCACCTTGGGGCTAGATACCGTGTTCACTTGTAGCAGCTGTGTGCTTCCTAAACCTCATGATACTTGAGATATACAGCAAAGAATGCAAAGTTATACTTTATCTGAAGTCACTTGAAACACTGTGAAATACCGGGTGCGTTTTATGTATCTATATTTAACACGCTCTGTTGCTGCAAAAATCGCCAAATTTCGCAGCAAATATCCCCCCCGTATAAGATCAAAGGCAGTTTCACCGGTCCACGTGGAGTAAAGCACACCTATGAGTGGACATAGCCAATGAGAAAGTGTGTATTTCAGAGCTCCGAACAAGTGCAGGTGGCTACTGAAAATTGAAACAGTTTAGCCAGTGCCGTGTAGCGGTGAATAAACGTGTTTTAGTCTGTCCGTGTTTTTTCATAGATTTTATTAGTTTGTGTTTTTGACTTTTGAATACTCAGTTTACTTCCAAGCCACGAGGAGATGGTTGATGAACCTGTGCAGGCAGAATTATTTCATAAAGATTTAGAGGAACAGACCCAAAGAGTAATCCTTATGATTGTCTGAAAACCGAAAATCCAGATTCCTCGCAAAATCAAATTTTAAACAGAATTTGTATCCTGACAAAAATCAGTCGGTCTACCATTTATCGGGTTATAAAAAGGGGAGATGTAGTCAACCATTCCTTCCACAGAAAGCACATAGGGCAAAAATTAAAAAGAATAGACGTGGGTTTTCAGGAATATATTCGTCGTATAATATACGGATTTTATAAAGAAAATTTGGTGCCCACGTTGGAAATGATAGGGGATAAATTAAAAGATTATCCTGAAGATTTTTATAATTACAAATGCTTAGACTCACTGCACTGTATTGTAAAACTGTGTGGTTTTCAATACAAAAAATCAGATAAAAGAATGGTGATTATGGAGTCGTCTCGAATCGTTGAATTGCGCCAAGAATTTTTGCACAAAGTTAAAATCTATAGAGAGCAGAAAAGAAATCTGATTTACCTGGATGAAACGTGGTATGATACCCATGATGTTGTGCAGTACGGCTGGGTTGACGACAGCAACAAGTGCATTTTAAATGCACCATACAACCGTGGAAAACGAATCATTATTCTCCATGCTGGCAGTGAAAATGGATTTATACCTAATGCCTTGCTGTTATCTGCCAAAAATATCAAAGAATCATGTGCCGACTATCATGAGGACATGACCTCCGACTTATTTGAAAAGTGGATAGAGCAGCAGTTAATACCAAACATTTCCCCAAATTCAGTGATTATTATGGACAATGCGCCATACCATTCCCGACAGAAAAACAAAATTCCGAATACAGGCACAAAAAAACAAGACATTATTGATTTTATGGAGGATAAGGGAATGGAAATACCACAAAAATCAACCAAAGCCATATTATTGGATCTTATTAAAAGACAAAAATTTGAAAAAGGGTATGTTGTTGACAATCTGCTTCAGCAAAATGGCCATGAAGTATTACGTCTACCTCCCTATTACTGCATTTTTAACCCGATTGAGTTGGTCTGGGCTGCTTTAAAAAAAAAGTAAGAAAACATAATCAGACCCCTCAATTAAGTGAATCGCTATTGGCCACAGTAAGAGATGCAGTATCTCATATTGCTGCCACAGACCTATGGAAGCAGTGTTCTAGGCATATTATTGAAAAAGAAAATGAATATTGTGTTTTGCCTCCTGTAAATCCCGTTATAGTTCCTCCACAAGATGACTCTAGCGACAGCTCCGAAGGCGAGGCTGATATATAAATACCTATAATGTAAGTCTTTATATACCTACCTGCTATGTAAATATTTGCCTATGTCAAACGTTGGAATTCTGTAATTTTTCCATTTCTTAACTTTCAGTCAGCATAAATTAAACTCCCAATATAAGTATTTTTTATCCCAAATCAAAAAAATAAGAAGATAGTAAAATCCATTTATTGTGATATAGAAACATTATTATTATCGTTCTAAATAAATGACCGCACGCCTATGATACGTCATGAAATTACAAAGGACGCGCCGACCAAAGGTTTTGATGCTATTTCAAGTGACTTCAGATAAAGTATACCCGTACAAGAAGCACTCACGAATGAATCTTTGATCTTGCCGACATTTTTCCTAGAATCCGAATCCTTTTTTTGTTTAAGTGTGCCAATGGAAGAAGTTCCGCACTTTTTTATTGCATTATACAGGGTAGTGCTGTTGTACTTTGTCAAAAAAATGTTTGTAATACCATCAAGTAATCGTGTTTATAGAGGGTGATTCATGTCACCATTTCCATGGCATAGATGATAAATATCATTTGCTCCAAAATATTCCGATTTGAAACATAGTTTTTAGCGCCTAAGTCACTGTTTGGAGATTCTTCATATGTTGTTCTGTCTTCTTTGTCATGGCGTAATCCCAGTAAACTATTGTGCCGATTTTGTCAAGACTTGGAATATACTATATATATATATATATATATATATATAAAGAGAAAATTATCATGCGAAGAAAGGTATATAACAAAAATAGGAAAATAATGGGCGAGATCCACAAAAAGTGGATTCGAGCAGAAAATAGGATAGGTAACCCGAGCGATACGTATTTCTGCTGGTTGGCTTCATCAGGCCCGAAATGAATGCACATATGCAACTACAAAGGTAGATACACACGCCCACACATCCGGATACGGGTGTAACCTGAGGAAACGAAGATGGAGAGGAAAAAAAGACACACGAAGTCCACAACAAGAGCCAACCTACACATTGTAGTATAAAATGGCTAGAAGACCTCGAATTTTCAAGGCGACAAATAACCACAACCACGCGGCCGGTTATAGCCACTTGCTGTGGTACTTCAAGCCCAAAGGATCTACAAAGATAAAATTATCATTTCTCATCATTATCTTTTTTTCCTCTCCATCTTCGTTTCCTCAGGTTACACCCGTATCCGGATATGTGGGCCTGTGTTTCTATTTTTGTAGTTGCATATGTGCATTCATTTCGGGCCTGATGAAGCCAACCAGCAGAAATACGTATCTCTCGGGTTACCTATCCTATTTTCTGCTCGAATCCACTTTTTTGCGGATATTGTCCATTATTTTCCTATTTTTGTTATATACCTTTCTCCGCATGATAAATTTCTCTTTGTAGATCCTTTGGGCTTGAAGTACCACAGCAAGTGGCTATAACCGGCCGCGTGGTTGTGGTTACTTGTCGCCTTGAAAATTCGAGGTCTTCTAGCCATTTCATACTACAATGTGTAGGTTGGCTCTTGTTGTTGACTTCGTGTGTCTTTTTTTCCTCTCCATCTTCGTTTCCTCAGGTTACACCCGTATCCGGATGTGTGGGCATGTGTATCTACTTTTGTAGTGGCATATGTGCATTCATTTCGGGCCTGATGAAGCCAACCAGCAGAAATACGTATCGCTCGGGTTACCTATCCTATTTTCTGCTCGAATCCACTTTTTGCAGATTTTGCCCATTATTTTCCTATTTTTGTTATATATATATATATATATATGGTCACAAATTTGAAAATTGCTGTAAAAGATGCTGGCGTAAGCGAAAAAAAAAACAAGCCTTGTTTTTTAATGTTGTTCATATTTTCAAAACTTTTGTTGTATGAAATTGTATATTTTTCAAAAAAATAACTTGCCTTACTCATAGCATTTATCTAACTATAGCAATAAGGCTGTACAATCACCTTCCAATCAGGATAAGCATGCTTGCTTTTCATAGGTTTAGAATGGAACTAAAAAATATTTTAATATCTTTGTTGCTCTACTTGTACGCTATTTAAGGATTCCTTGATTGTGATATAAATGTATACTTACCTAGCACCTTGTAGTTACAGTGTTGGTTCACTAAGTAAACAAGGGTAAGGAAAGAGTAATGGGTCTATAATTTTAGATGATCAACTTTTGTTTCGGATTTATCAGGAATATATTTCAAATATTGTGCTCCCCCAATCTGATAATTCTAAAACATGTACGAGGGCGGTTCAATAAGTACCCGTGTTAGAAATGAAGACATCATTTTTTCCACAAAATTTCTTTTTAGTTTTCAACGTTCCTGCCATTTTTTGAACCCCCCAAAAAATTAGGATTTGTCGAACTCTCCAAAATACGCCTCTGTCTCGGCGATGACTTCTTCGTTTGAGCTAAATTTTTCCCCGCGAGCCATTTCTTTATGTCAGGGAACAAGAAAAATTCGCAGAGGGCCCGATCGGGTGAATACGGGGGGTGCGGCAGCGCTTCATAACGCCGACAATTTTTTCATAGCCAACTTATAATGCAAAATATTGTTTGCCTTTCCGGTCGACACACCTACGGCCTCTGTTACTTCCTGCACTTTCGTTTGTCAATCAGCGAGAATCATGTCGTGGACTTTTTGAATGATTTCCTCGGTAACCACGTCTGTCGGGCGTCCTGATCGATCCTCATCAAAAACGGATCTTCGCCCACGTTTAAATTCGTTGAACCAATATCTAGCTGTGCGAGATGGCGAAGTGCTCCCATAAACACCATTTAACTTTGCTTTTATCTCCTAGCATTTTTTCCCATCCAAAAGCAAAAAGCGAATTACCAAACGATACTGCTCTTTTTCCATCTTAGCGAAAATCACGAAACACGTGTAAGAGATGATATGAAGAGATGGTAATAGAGATATAACGATGAGCGTAAGAACAACAATGCCACCTTACAAGCGTTCGAAGTACTACCCTGTACCTTCTCACTTTTATTACGAGAGTAGTACAGACACAACTTGATAAGGGCTTCAATGTCAGGATAATTTTAGAGCGACTTACTTGGTGACGTTAACGACAGGGGAGTTGTTCTTCCTTGGCGAATGATACGGTCGATAGAACTGCGTTGTCGGGGCCAAGACTATTTTTGGGAAAAACCTTTCGAGTACCTTCCATATTCTACCGACTCATGACATGCACAACTCTACTGTCTATTCATAATGTTAATTAGGTGTCCCGATACTGATCACAAAACAATATAATAACGAACGGTAGCTTCCTACCGCATGGAAGTCACGCCTGATATGGAAATATAATACCTCGCACGGGGGAACGGTAGCATCCTACCGCATTGAAGTCACGCCCGTGCCCATGATCAGGGGAACGGTAGCTTCCTGCCGCATGGAAGTCACGCCTGATATGGAAATATAAAACCTCGCACGGGGAAATGGTAGCTTCCTACCGCGTTGAAGTCACGCCCGTGCCCATGATCAGGGGAACGGTAGCTTTCTACCGCATGGAAGTCACGCCTGATATGGAAATATAATACCTCGCACGGGAAACGGTAGCTTCCTACCGCATTGAGGTCACGCCCGTGCCCATGATCAGGGGAACGGTAGCTTCCTACCGCATGGAAGTCACGCCTGATATGGAAATATAATACCTTGCACGGGGGAACCGTGGCTTCCTACCGCATGGAAGTCACGCTCGTGTCCATACTCGGGGGAACGGTAGCTTCCTACCGCATTGAAGTCACGCCCGTGCCCATGATCAGGGGAACGGTAGCTTCCTACCGCATGGAAGTCACGCCTGATATGGAAACATAATACCTCGCACGGGAGAACGGTAGTTTCCTACCGCATTGAAGTCACGCCCGTGCCCATGATCAGGGGAACATTAGCTTCCTACCGCATGGAAGTCACGCCTGATATGGAAATATAATGCCTCGCACGGGGGAACGGTAGCTTCCTACCGCATTGAAGTCACGCCCGTGCCCTTGATTAGGGGAACGGTAGCTTCCTACCGCATGGAAGTCACGCCTTATATGGAAATATAATGCCTTGCACGGGGGAACGGTAGCTTCCTACCGCATGGAAGTCACGCCCGTGTCCATACTCGGGAGAACGGTAGCTTCCTACCGCATTGACGTCACGCCCGATATGGATACCTTTATAATCGGTGCTTAGGCAGATATGCCAAGTACTTGATTGTTACGAAAAGCGGCCCAGAAACCAGGATATCACGTTGCCGTGTCAATACCCAAAAACTCCGACGTTACCTCTGATTGAGAGATAACCGAGCAGCGGACAACTTTAAGTAACAATCCCTATGCACATCTTGGCATGAGATACTTTCAGACTCCTGCAATTGCCTCGAGAAAAACCTACGCGGTCACACAGACCCAGGATACCACGCCGGCCAATGGCCGTTGTGTCAATACCCAATACGCTCCGACATTTCCTCTGACAGAAGAAACCGAGCAGTAATTCCCCCGATGGCAACCCAGCTCTGTAGGTCTCATAACAGCCTCCAGGATATGGAGGCGTCACACCTCTGTAGATGTTTGACGCTAAGTTACCTTTAACTTTATCTTAACTGTTGATAAACATATCTCATCTGACTAGCTTTGACTTATTACAATTATTATCATGATTATAAGGGTACCATGGTTAGAAAATACACATGACATGCAGTACAGCAAAACAATAAAAGATACTCAGTGTCAACCCTCACCGTTTGATTGATCGAACCTTGACCTGGACACTATTCACAAAATCACAACACACAGACACTTCCACCTTTCAACTGTTAGAACAATATTAGAATGAACTAAGAGGGCCTGTGCCTCAGCGTGCCCTTGGTTTCACGAATACGCAGGGTCGTAAGTGGTTGTTTAAATGTGTATGCCAGCAGTGCCTTTCTTAGCATTCCAAGTGTCAAGCGATACTAAAAGTATCTAAAATATTGTGTATGCTTACACACGTGTTACTCGAATGGTTGCCAAATCCAAACTAACGTACCAATCAATCTGAAATTTGTTGTGCCGCCGTTTGATAGATGACAGCACACGACGATAACATTAACTTCTCTCAAGAACGCCCTCTGTCGTCAAACACGGATAATTATTGAACTGCCCTCGTAAGTGTGGTTTGAGCAAATAAAGAAAATCTATATATCTACCCAGCAACGTGGCAACCCAGCACAGGTTGCATACACGAACATACGGAGCAGACAGACTTATGCTCGCTGAGTTGTTCGGCATACGTACATCGAAAATGTATCTGTATCTCTCATGTTTTGAATGTACAGAGAAATCTATAGTGTAGCAAATATGTCCAATTTTTTATAATCCTCTGAGACGTCGAAGTATGAGTCTACGAAAGTAGACCTTCTTCGGTTGATCAATTTTGAATCGGAAAAAATGGCTGTTTTTTATGTTATTTTGTTCCAGAAGCAACCTCAACCAACCTTTTCCGCGTCTTCCAGAAGAAGCAGTAACGATTCTACAGTCTTCAGACCTTCCAGAGCAGGATTTATGAAGGTTGGTAGCTGTAGTTATTAATATAGTTTTACAGAACGGCATTGGGTCCTTAAGGTATTCTGTTGAGATTTAACTGACACATGTTAGTGCAAAAGGCAAATATGCAAATACAAAGGACTAAAATACTGAAAAACATTTGCGATAGACACTTTCATAAATATAGTTTTACTTCTCTATAGCGAACAACTCGTTTCAATCCAGCAATCGTACCACTATTGTAAATACCAAAATACACAGGCTGTTGAAAACTTCTCACCACGGGTCTATCGAATACCATTGATTAAAAGAAAAAACGCTGAGACACTTCAAAAGATTTGTCAAGGGGGACTACTTTTTAACCTAAAACTACTTCACCCGTTCCACCCTCTGCCCCAAGGGGCATCTTCTTAAAATTTTTAAATTACTAGGGGTATCGAATAATAGCTTTTTTGAAAGGTCTTTCGAAGTCCTTTATTTTGACTTTGATTTTTCAAAATCGGTCGATTCGTTTTCGAGAAAATTAGAAAAATCTTTATCTTAATTTGTTCAGATTGAAAACAAAAACACGAAAACATCACTTTTTATTTCAATAAGTGTTCAAAATGTTGCCCGTTAGGGTTTTCCAAATCTACAATTTGTTTATAATTTAAAATGAGAACTACCAACATAAACAGCAATTGGGAAGATTAGACGTGGCAACAACCAAATCACAACCCGAATTTCACCGCATTATGTTCATCAACACAGATATCTTGGGCGAACTGTATTTATTGTTATGCCTGTTTAGTTATTTCTTGCTAAGGGAAAGAAAAAATTTAATTTGTGACAATCTTGGGATAGCGAAAATTAATTTATTGATTCAGATTTTACTTCCAAAATGGTTTACATACCTCCCAGAGAGTGGAAATGATTCGTGCTTATGTGCATTCAGTGATGAATGCACATTTTAATTAAATGAATTTGCATAGCTACAGGTATTGAAGCAATGAAAACCCTCATGCTTTTGTAGAAGGGCATACACTCAGTACCCCCAAAAAAATAATGTATGGGCAGGCATTCTAGGAAGCAAAGTGATCGGGGCCATTGGTTATTAATGGAAATTTGAATGGATACATTTATTTGGATACGTTGGAAAATACCATCTATCCGCTTACCACTGAAACCATTGAAAACCAAAATTTTGTATAAGTACTTAATGAAGCATAATAAGTAAATGATAAAAATTTCAAAATGAGTGCACTGCTTTAAAGCCCTTTGACCTTTAATAATGTGTGGATGCACCCTGATGTGCTACGCATTCTCCAACGCGCCTAGGCATGCTTCTGACCATCAACTCCTCTCGAAGTGCTTCTAGAGTCTGAGGAGGACGTTGCAAATTGAGCAATCCCCTACCCATCATATCCCACACGTGCTCAATTGGGGATAAGTCGGGAGATCTTGGTGGCCATGGTAACAATGTGACATCATTATGTTGAAAGAAGTCTATTGTGACTCTTGCAACATGTGGTCGGGCATTATCTTGTTGGAAAGTTGGATCTGCCAGGGTGTCAAGATAGGGTAATAGATGGGGTTCTGGAACTTCGTGGATATAACGCTGCGCGTTCATGTTACCTCTGACGAAGATTAAAGGTGACCTGGAACCATAAGCTATAGCACCCCAAACCATAACTCCAACAACTCCAACAGTGTGATGAACATGTCTTTCAACAAAAAACTGTGGATTCCTCCTTTCACCACGTCGCCTTCTAACCCTGGCACGACCATCGTGCATGCCTAAACAAAATCGAGACTTGTCACTAAAGACAATACTGTTCCATTCCTGATCCCAGAGTGACCGTTGTCTGCACCACTCAAGGCGATTACGTCGGTGTTCTCGAGTTAAAGGGAGGACCCAGTGTGGCCGGTATGAAAACAAGCCAAAACTTCTCATTCGTCGGTAAACACTTCGCATGCCAATAGGTCTTCCGTGTTCTGCAAACCATTCATTTGCAATGGACCTGGTAGTGGAGAAACGGTCTTAGGCGGCGATCTTCACGGTCTGTTGTTCTACGGCGGCGTCCAGTGCCCCTTGCTCTCTGCGTACGGCCTTCTCGAAGCCATGCCTGACAACACCTAACCACACTTCTTTGTACTCTAACTGCAATTGCCCGAAAAGAAAGTCCAGCTTCCCGAAGTCCCACTATACGGGCCCTATCAAACTCACTAAGTTGACGAAATCGCACAGGTCTCCGTACCCTAGGCATCGTAACCGATCGTAAAGGATGTCAAGAACCAGAATCCGCCAACGTTGATTCTTTACTGCGGCTGAAATATTCATTTTTAGAGCGTTAGTGAATTAAAAAAAAGCAGTATAAAAACCGGAATGTCCAACTGATAAGGCTGAAAATTTTGTCACTTGTTATTTACAGTAAGATAAATACATTCACCAACTTTTATTAAAATAAAACCATCTAAACTGGGTGTTCGGATTTATATGTCACTTAGTATACTTGATGAGACTGAAATATATTTTCAGCAAGGCGGCGCTACTCACTATGTTCTTCCGGTTCGGCAATGGCTAGACGACGAGTTTCCAAATAATTGGATAGAGCGAAGAGGGCCTATAGAATGGCCTGCTAGATCTCCTAATTTGACGCCGTTAGACTTTTTTCTATGGGGCAATTTTAAATCTCTTGTGTTTACTCCCCAACCTGAAAGCTTGGTTGAACTTCGTCAATACATCATCGAAAACTGCTATGGTATCCCACCACATGTTTTTGAAAATGTTGTTTGGACAATAACGGGCAACCTCTTGGACACTTATTGAAATAAAAAGTGTTTATTTTCTATTTGAACAAATTAAGATAAATAAAGATTTTTCCAAATTTCTTGAAAACGAGTCGACCGATTTCAAAAATTCAAACCTCAAACCAAAGGACTTCGGAAGACCTTTCAAACAAGCTATCACTCGATACCCCTTGTCATTTAAAATTTTTAAGGGGATGACCCTGGGGGGGGGGGGTGAAAGGAGGTAAAGTAGTTTTTAGTTAAAAAGTTGTCTGTCCCCCTTGACAAATCTCTTGACGTGTCTGGTTGTTTTTTCTTTAATCAGTGGTTTTCAATAAATCTGTGGTGGGAAGTTTTCAAATATACATATACAGGGTGGCGCATCGAAAACGAAACAGACGCATTTACTAGCTCAGTTTTTTTTTTTGGAAAAACGCTCAGACCCGTCGATTATGTTTTCGAGGGGGACACAAGTTTGGCAAAAAATCACGTTAATGCGTGCAGCCCCCTGGGCGGGGGTGACACCAACCCTAAAATCTTAAATGGAAAGGGGGATCGAGTGATACCTTATTTTAAAGGTCTTTCAATTTCCTTCATAATGATGTAAGCTACATGAGCTTCGGTTCAGTAGTTTTGAAGATTTATTGATTTAAAGCTTAAAGTAGACTTTAATAGGCACATCAGATTAGTTTGTACTACTTTCAGAAGAAATTTGACTAAAAGAATTTACTTAATAATTAAATGCTTTTCTTCACTACGTCCATGGTTTGTTTATCATTTTGTTGTTGAAAATAGCTATTGGAGCGTTTTTTGGCAAAAAAATTATTTCTTGAAGAAAGATAAGGAAATATCTCGTACTCATTTTAAATAGGAATTTAGTACATAGTTTGCGATTGATTTGACCAAACTTTGTTGCTGAAATAACTTGTAACCTTTATTACATAAATTAGCCATGGTATATTCCAGCAGAAATAATTGAAATTATCGAAATATTTTTCGGAAATAATCAGAGCGCTAATAGAACAGCAGAAATATTTAATGAGCGACATAAGAACAGTAACGTGCATCGAAAATATGTTCTAGAACTTTTAGCTAAATTTCGGGAAACTGGGTCAGTCGTCAATAAAAAACGCAACATTGAAAATCCCATAAGGAACGAAGCAATAGAAGTGGGGGTTTTAGGGCATGTTTATGTAGATCCTACGTTAAGTACCCGCAAATTGGAGACTGTGTGTGGTATTAGTCGACGTACTGTCCAACGGATTCTAAAGGCCCATAGTTTTCATCCGTATAAAATTCACCTGGTACAAGAACTTAATGAAGACGATTTTGATTCGGCGATTACAATTTTGTGAAGATATGAGTGAACGAATTATAAACGATGAACATTTTCTATTCAACACTTGCTTTTCCGACGAATGTTCCTTTTTCTTAAATGGCGTAGTAAATCGTCATAACTGCCGATATTGGTCCGATTCTAATCCCAGAATTTATCATGAGATTCATACACAGCAGCCACAAAAATTAAATGTTTGGGCTGTTATTTTTGACGATCATTTAGTTTTTCCTTTTTTCTTACCTGGAAATTTGACCGGTGAAATGTATTTGGAATTACTGGAAGGCGCCATAAATCCTGCATTAACAGCTATAATTGAACATCAGAATGATCGGCGGTACATTGCGAATAGGTTGATGTTCCAACAGGATGGTGCCCCACCACGTTACGCATTACGTGTTCGACAATATTTAGATCAGACGTTTCCAGATCGATGGATTGGTAGAAGAGGTGCCATTGAATGGCCCCCAAGATCGCCAGATTTATCACGTTTGGATTTCTCTTTGTGGGGTCATTTAAAAAGCAAAATCTATGCTACTCAGCCAACATCATTAGAAGACCTGCGACAAAGAATTGTGAATGAGTGCCTTCAAATTACTCTTGAGCAAAACCTTTATTATTGCATGGAGAGTCATGGTGGCCATTTTCAACATTTACTTGCCTAACGGGTCAGTTCATTCATCATTTTTAAATTACTTTGCTGCCAAATGTATTGATCTCCACTAATGATGATGTATTAGTTTTATTTAAGCTCTAAATCAATAAATTTTCAAAACTACTGTACATTAAATTTATATCATTATAAAGGGAATTGAAAGACCTTTAAAATGAGGTATCACTCGATCCCCCTTTCCATTCAAGATTTTGGGGTGGTGTCATCCCCGCTTAAGGGGCTGCACGTGCTAACGTGATTTTTTGC